TTTGACTAATTTCGTCGTGCGGTTGTCGTGTTAGAACAAGGGAAAAAGCTACTCGTCAAAACAACTTCTTATCCCTTTTGTTTTATATTTCTTATATACTAGGCATATGAGAAAGAGGGATAACTAAAAAAAATGAGAATAAGTTTGTACATGGGATCAAGTATATTAATGATTATGTTGAAGTTAAACTATTGTCAATTATTATGATAATTTGATAATTATTTCATCATATTGTAGTCAAATATGTGTATTTGAATAATAATTAAGGGTAAGTTGGTAAATAAACATATTAAGTGGGACCCACTCAATAAATCAATTCCTCACACATTTTTTTTTTCTCTCCTTAACCTCTCTCATCTTTCTCATCTTCACGCACTGAACACACACTACACACACGCACACACAGTTCCAGCAGGTCGACCGCCACAACGCTGCCGCCTTCCGTCAACAGCCATCAGTTTCGCGCCTACCTTCCAGCCATCGGAGCATCGCCGCGCATCCACCTCCGTTTGTACCGCACAACCGCCGTTTGGAACGAATGTTAGAAGAACAATGAAAGAACAAGAAGAATTTTCAGTCGTAAATTATATTTTTAGGGTGTGATGAATTTTTTTTGTATTTGTATGATTGTTATATAAATTAGATAAGAATATGGGACTTGAAAATAAATAAAAATATATTTATAGTTAACGCAAATATTTTTAAATTTTAAAATACAATACAACGACAACAACAAAGTCTTTTAGGCCCAAACAAGTTGGGGTAGACTAGATATGAAACCCAAGAAAAATAGTGGTAATAGAAACAAAAAAACAAAAAAAAAGGCTCAAAACAAAACAAAACAATAACAAAACTCAAAACAAAAACAAAACAAAAGGAAGAGATTGAAGCATAAGAGAAATGAGCAAAAGTCACGGTTCCGGCACGTTGATCGCTAGCCTCCAAGCGCTCCTATCCACCGCTAATCCTTGGAGATATTCCAATTTTTAAGGTCTCTCTGGACCGACTCTTCCCAAGTGAGTTTAGGCTGACCTCTACCTCTCTTAACATCATCGGCCCGCTGTAGAACCCCCCTACGCACCGGTGCATCAGGAGGCCTCCGTTGGACATGTTCGAACCACCTCAGCCGATGTTGAACCAATTTCTCCTCAATTGGAGCCACCCCGACCCTATCTCGAATATCCTCATTCCAGATTTTATCCCTTTTTGTGTGCCCGCAAAACCAACGCAACATCCGCATCTCTACTACACTTAGTTGTTGGACATGTTGCCTTTTTGTAGGCCAACATTCAGCACCGTATAGCATCGTCGGGCGAATCGCCGTCCTATAGAACTTACCTTATAGCCTTTGTGGCACACTCTTATCACAGAGAACGCCTGAAGCTTGACGCCATTTCAACCAACCGCCTGCAATTCTATGCCTAACATCTTCATCAATGTCGCCATCCTTTTGTAGCATCGATCATAAATATCGGAAAGTCTCCTTCTTGGCCACCACTTGCCCGTCAAGGCTAACGTCACCATCATCATGAGTAGCCATGCTGAAATCGCACGTCATGTACTCGGTCTTCGTCCTACTAAGTCTGAAGCCTTTCGACTCTAATGTGTCCTTCCACAGCTCTAACTTCCTATTTACTCATGCCCTACTCTCGTCAACTAACATCACATCATCAGCAAAGAGAATACACCAAAGGATATCACCTTGTATGTCCCTTGTGGCCTCATCTATCACCAAGGAAAATAAAATACAATAAGGGTATAATATGTTTTTAGCAAAGTACGAGGAATACGAGACAAAGTACAAGGCTACTAAATTTTTTTTTGCCTTGTACTCTTGAATCCACCGTTGATTTCCATTTTTTAGTCAATCTAATGGTGAAATGAGGAGGTACCTGATGTTAAGTACGTACAAGGGGTACGTGACCCTAGATGGTCCCAAGTCTATTGGGTTTGGGGCTTATTGAAATTTTTCAAAGATAAAAATCATTTTATTTTTCTCAATAAGTGGCCCTCCTGGCCCGCCCTGCCAAAACCCGCGGCACGCGCGGGCCAGACTGTTTAGGCCCGCTCTTTGGCGGGCCTTCAAAATAGCTGCCCAACCTGCCTAGTGGGCGGGGGCGAGGCTGTAGGCCTGTTTTGACATGTCTAGTTGTAGATCAGAGATCTCAAACTTTGAGAGCTTGTCTCTAGGGATGTCAATAAACTCGTAGGGTCGGGTTACCCACGGCTTACTCGCATTTTTGGGTCGGGTAAACCCGATATGATTGGGTTTCGAGTCGGGTTAGGGTAGAATTATGCTACCCGAACCCCGGATCGGGTCGGGTGCGAGTATAGTAGCCAAACCCATTACCCGAGCCGATTACCATACTCGTTTATCCACAACCATTAAATCATATATACATACATATATATAATTATAACTTATAATAAATATAAAAGTAGTCATGTGTTAGATTATTTATTATAATTTTGATTAATTGTTATATTTATTTTATTTTTTATAACTTTATTATCATTTTTTGTTAATTATACCATAAAAAATTAAATACTTAGTTTTAGATGTTATAATATTAAATAGACTATAAAAGATAAATAATCATATCTCATTATTTATTTCAAAAATAATATAATTTTTTTATAGTTTAATATTGTCAAACTTAGTTAATAAATTATTTCTTACATTATAATTAATTGTGAAATTATTTTATTTTATTTTTTCATATGAAACGGGATGGGTCGGGTAAAACCCAAATTTAAGACTCGGGTTACCCATTACCCGACGAAAACCCACTAACCCGCCAGGTAAAACCCAACCTGAACCCGAAGATCACTAGTCGGGTAACGGGTCAGGTTTGGGTAGGGTAAATTATATGCGGGTCGGGTTTGAGTTTGCCAAAACCCCCGTACCCAACTCGACTCATTTACATCCCTACTTGTCTTTGCTACTGTGGGCTTTTTGTTATTTTTTCAGCTTGTTTTGGGGTTGTACTTGAACATTTGTTTCTTGTTATAATAGAGTACTAGTACAATACCCGTGTACTACACGAGTGGTTGATAAAATAATTAAATGTACAATAAAAAATAAAAATATTATATATATATATATATATATATATATATATTGTTGAAGTTGGAAAAAATAAATAATGAACAACATATAATAATTTATAATAAAGAACTAACGTAAAGTAACAATATTATTTTGAATCTGAAACCTAATTTATATACGTCATTAATTTTATTTATAATATTTTATTTAAAACACATACAAGAATAATATGGACAAACCAAAAAATTTGGAAAGTAAGATTATATGCAAATTATAGAAAAAGATAACAAATATATTTATATGAAATAGTTTAAATATATTAAATATGTGTATATATATAGTAATATGAACCTAAATTATTTGGTATAAAAAACTATTAATTTTTATCCGAGCCATGTTACAAAGCATAATTTTTGCCACATAAGATTATGAAGCGTGCGAAACTGCCACTTAGACTCAACACGTCCTGGAATTATATATAGGGGATTCTATAGTTGGTTAAAAAAAAGAAAAGAAAAAAATTATATATTAGGAAAGAAACAAAAATAATATTTTCATAAAGATGTCGTTTTCAATCAAACTAGTTTTTTACCCGTGCATTTGCACGGAAAGCTATATGATAAAGGAAAAAATAAAAAATGAAAACAATAGTATGCTTAATACCATGGTCATTGATAACTCGGGTTCAACAACAAAAATCTAAATCTATATATTATTAAACACTTCTTTATATACAACGTTCGTGGTTTTCCTATCATCAAAATCTTCATCACCATAAATCATTATCTTCAGACCCCTCCGATTCGTGACTCTAGATAGTGCCACATACAACTGTCCATGACTGAAGACAGGGTTCTTCAATAGTAAGCCGACGTGTGAAAGTGACTGGCCTTGACTCTTGTTGATAGTCATAGCATATGAAACCATGAGCGGAAATTGTCTGCGTTGAAATTTGAACGGTACCCTCAAATCTGATGGTATGATTGTGAGCCTAGGAATAAGAACATTGTCACCAGCTCTGGCACCAGTTAAAATCTTGCATTCGAGGACATGGCTGCTGAGCTTAGTGATAACCAACCGTATACCTGTTGACATAAAAACTCGGAAACAAAAGAATATCACTCAAATTTGTACAATGATAAAAAGAAATATAGACGACA